GAGGGGAGCTTTCCCGAAAACGACATCACTAATCTTTCAACCGACAGCGCCATCTAGTCTCGGAACGAAGAACTAAGCTTCTAGAAGCTGACACTCGAACTCTCGACCCCTTGCGCGTGTTTACTTGAATATTCTGGATGTTTCGGTGCCAATTTGTATTTATAGGCGCTGCAAGATGCGATCGGGGCAGTATTGAATTTGGCAAGACAAGCGTAGCTTCGGAGCGGAATAAAGTGAATCAGTGTGATTAATTGTTAGTGTTTTAAGTTTTAATTGGTGTAAATAAAATTAAAGTGTTAATTTAGGTAATTCTATCGGCAATTTTTATTGTCACGAACCTCAAGCTCGTAACAATACGATTCGTCTTTGGCCTGCGCAAATACGATCACGTATCAGAATTTCGCTCCCAGTTAAAGTGGTTGACTATACGCCAGCGCAGAATTTTTCGAATCTTGTTCACTCTGTTTTCAGTTCTTAATGATTCTTCCTCATCCCTTTATCCGAAAGAAAGAATTCCATTCCGTAGTGACACTCATTCTCTCAATCTTCGTTCTTCACACAATTTATAACTGTCCTCTCCACTATTCTGGGTTTATGTCAAATTTCACAGTAACTTCCATCTCCCTCTGGAACAAAAATGTTTTTTAAAAAACTATACGAACATATCCATAGCCACCAAAGTTGAGTTCACTTATAGTTATTTGTATATACATTTATTGAGATATATATTGTTATGAGCTTGATGTTCGTGACAATAATAAGTGCCGATTAAATTACTAAATTGGACACTTACAACTGACAATTACTGAACATTAGTTACAACTTAAAACACACTAATAATAAATCACTTCAGTTCGCAGTTATATCGCTTGTAGTATTCGCTTGAATTGAGGATTCAATACTGACTCGGGTCGGGGTCAAAACCAGTCTTATATAGGACCTTTTCTACTGAAACATCTAGAATGTTTGAGTACATACCGGTCCTAACCGACTAGGTGTAGAAAGTTCTAGTATGGAATTTTCTAGAAAGCTCTCCTAGTACTGCTACTCGATACTAGATTGCGCTAGTGGCATTAATTATGGTGCGCAAAACTGCCCCCTTCTAAGTCATGCTCGCATTATCGGCCCCATAATAACGCGCTAGTCGATCCACGTGGACGATCTTTGGAGTCCTCTTGCATCTTTCTGTATCCGGTAGGTTACATCATTTATCCTTGTTTATTTATTGTTTATTATCCGGTACGGTCCATCCCATTTAGTTTGAAGCTTAGGGGATTTCCCTTTGCTGCGAACTGGATTGTTCAACCGCACTAGAGACTTTTCGTCGAACCCTTTGTTCGCTCGTTAGGTAAAATCGGCATGATTTTGTCCCATTTCTGACATTAATTGTTACGAGCTTGGGGTTCCTGATAATAAAAACTGCCGATTGAATTACCAAAATTGACACTTTAATTGCCGAACATCAATGAGGATAACTTTCCAAAAGTGGATTCTTTCATGGTATTTGATTACCCAGTTAATCATTCTAAGTTCACCAGCGTTGAAATCCGTCGTTGGAAAATACAAAAGTAAGGGTGCTGCTTTATCTACGCACGTAGGTTTTTTTTTATAAGATGGGGTAATAAACGTGCACACAGACCACCTGATGGTAAGTGGTTGCTGTGGCCCATAGTATATCTATCCTCGATTACGAATCAAAATGCAGATGCGTTGTCACCCGTGAGGACTAACATGGAATGTCTCGTCTCCAGTAAAAAGGGTTTCCGGTTCTCTACACTCACCACACGAAACACAACAGCATTAAGCTACTATTTTACGCTGGTATTCTGTGAGAGCGTGGTCCTTCCCCGGCCGAGCCGAGCCAATCGTGCTACAACTATACTACTAATACAACTGCAGCATGGCTGCAGCATACCACGTACAAACTAGTACTTATTAGTAAGCTTTAGATCTAAGGTGTTAGTGGTAGGTGAAAGAAAGAATGAATGTAAAGTATAGGTACAGGGACGTATTCATAAGTTCATAACTTATGAATAAAGTGTTTATAGTATCTTGATAAAAGAATTGTTGTTTTTGATGATGGCTTTTTAACCTACTTTCACTTTATTTCATGTATGGTTCCCTACACTTGCTGACCTGTGACAGAAACCTTAATATTGGTTATCAAAGGCTGTTAGATGATGAAAGATGGCTAACATCTTGCTCATTGCTACAAATAATTTCATCAGTATGTATATTCTTTATATATATATATATATATAAATATGTCATATTTAACTATATTTGATTTATATAAATATATTTATAGTATATATTTATCGCTTGTTAACAATCACACGCGGCGAACTGAACAACAAACGTTAGAAACACGTGTATTATATGATTTATTAATTTCATGTTTGCCGATAGTAAAAAGATTATTAAGTAAAACGATCGTTTCCCAGAAATTCGATACTATCTAAAATAAGTACTTTTTTATGGTAAATCATAAAATTGACCCTAAGTTTAAATATTGTTAGAAAGCTACTAACAATACGCAGATGTTGAACAAAGATATAGAATACCCTAAAGATGTAGAATAACTGCATCTAATGTTCACGAAGCTGCACATTACAAGACGCCTGATGGTGCTTTGATTGAACAGATATTTGGTGCCTTTGTACCAGAAACACTGTCTATGAAAAGAGGCAAACGATTGGAATCCGATGTCATTGCAGAAGTAGCCAAAACAAAACAAATAGTAATCGAAAATGGTGGTTTCTTTTTAAAACCCGATTGGCCGCATTTAGGCGCTTCTCCAGATGGATTGACAAGTCACTACTTTCTAGAAATAAAATGCCCCTCGACAAAGAAAGGAAAACAAAGTTTTGTAAATAATAATTTTCTCGGCAGCAAATCTAAAGCTCAAATTCAGCTACAAATGTTTTTTAGCAATAAAGTCAAGGGGTTGTTTTGTATAGCTAATGAAAAATTTGAAAACAATAAAACGTAGAAATATTCAAAGAATATTATGATAAAAATTATTGTACTGATCTTTTAAGAGTGTCTAATGTTCTGGAAACTTGTAAGAACTGCCAGGGGACATTCAAAACAGCCTATGATGAATGCTATAAGAGACGAGAATGGCTATATTCTGAATGATGAAGTTTTGAGTTTAAAGAGATGGAAGGAATATTTTGAAAGCGTGTTTATGAGTGAGGAGACAACGTGTGTACTAAGTGAAGTAGAAATTCCGAAGGAAGAGGAAAGAGGTAGCGAGATTAGTGTAGGTGAAATAATGAAAGCAATGAAAAGCATGAAAGCAGGTAAGGCTGCCGGATATGATAGAGTTTCACTCGAAATGCTAAGGGCTGGAGAGGAAGTGGTGGCAGGCCTGCTGCACACCTTGTTTAATTTATGCTGGCAACTGAAGCGGGTACCGGTAGACTGGTGCAAAGCCGTGATAGTCCCAGTATATAAGGGAAAAGGGTCGCAGCAGGACTGTAAAAACTACCGTGGCATCAGCCTTCTTAGCATTGTGGGAAAACTGTATGCTAAGGTACTGATTGAAAGGGTCATGAAAGAAACTGATGGAAAAATTTGGGATGTGCAAGCAGGATTTAGAAAGGGAATGGGATGTACAGATCAAGTCTTTTCCATGCGCATGATCGCGGAGAAGTTTTTGGCCAAAAACCAAAAGGTTTTTTGTGCGTTCATGGACTTGGAAAAGGCCTATGACAGAGTGAATAGGGATGTGCTATGGCAAACACTGAACTCATTTGGGTTGAGCGCTGGCTTGATACGGGCATTGGAGTCCCTTTATAGGGACTCTAGTGCTTGTGTTAGGATCAACGGGGTCTACTCGGACTGGTTTGACATCCATAAAGGTGTCAGACAGGGCTGTGTAGCTTCCCCGTGGCTGTTCAACCTATTTATGGACAGTTGTTTGCAAAATTTGAAAGTTGAAGAATGCGGATTAAGAATGGGTGAGTTAACCGTCAAATGCCTTTTGTACGCCGATGATCAAGTTATACTTGCGTCGTCGGCGGCCGAGTTGCAAATGATGGTTACATTAATGAACAGATCATTAAAAGAAAGGGGTATGAAAGTGAACGCAAGTAAGACGAAGGTTATGGTTTTTGAAAGAGAAGAAAGTAAAACGATTTGTGAAATAAGAATAGAAGGGGAGTTGATCGAGCAAGTAGACGAGTTTGTATATTTGGGCTGCGTATTTAGCAGGGATGGGAGATATGATAAGGATATAGAACGACGAGTGAATGCGGGAAATAGAGTAAATGGGGCCCTGCACTCTATTGTGAAGAGTCAAAATGTGTCGAAAAAGGCACGTATGGCAATTCACAATGCTGTGTTGGTCCCTACTTTAACATATGGTAGTGAAAGTTGGGTGTGGCAGAAGAAGCACGAGAGTAGAATGAACGCAGTAGAAATGCGGTCGTTAAGGAGTATGTTAGGGCTGAATCTTAATGACAGGGTAAGAAATTGTGTAATAAGAGAAGAGTGTGGTTTGCAAGATGATGTTGTGACCAGGATTAAGAAAGGAATGCTTCGGTGGTTTGGTCATGTGGAAAGAATGAATGAGGAAAGAGTGACAAAGAAAATTTATGTTGCAGAAGTGAATGGCAGAGTCGGAAAGGGACGTCCTAGGCGAAAATTTATCGACCAAATTGGCGATTTATTGAAAACGGGCCAAATTAGGAGTACCCTTAACCGACGAGCATGTATGCGGAGGTGTATGGATGTGAAGGAGGCGAGAGAGGTGTGTCAGGATCGTGCCAAATGGAAGTCTGTAGTCTCTGCCTACCCCTCTGGGTGACAGGCGTGAGTGTTTATGTTATGTATATGTATGTTTTAAGAGAAATCCACGCATTTTTGGAAAACGTCAGTGTTTCCGGAACTGGTTGAGACATAAAATTACTCTTTTATCAATAACATGACATGTGCTTTTGATGTTGACAGGTTGTCGAAATAAAACTATAAAACAAACGAAAGCATTTTTATTTTTACACTTGATTACTAAATAGACAATTCTGTAAATTAACTAAACCACAGGCTATTGTTACAACATTATCCAAAAAACATGCGTGAAGTCCGATCATTTTAAAGTCTCTCAACTTCCCTATGCTTTTTTCAACGTGAACTCTTATAGCGGCAAATCTCTTTGTTTGCAAGACTTCCTCTGCTGAAGGTTTTGAGTTGGAACTTTCACTAGGTGGCCTCAGGAGTGTACAACCATGTTTTTCCAGTAAATGGGAAATATTTTTGAAACCTCTGTCAGCTAACACAATACTTTTTTGTACCAATTTGTCAAGAAATCCGCTGTCTTCAAATATGGTTGAGTCTGGGGTCCTCCCTCCATATTCCTCAGAGATAAAGTTTATCAAACCATCAGGTGTAATTGAAATTAAGTACTTAATGGTATTGTAGCTTTTATATTGAGACCATGTAGCCGCTTGGTGCGAAGCGTTGCTAGTTTTCTCGATTTGAATTTCAAAACAACCGATTGTTGAAATTGCTTTTGAATAGCGCTTCCTAAAAGCTATCGGCAAGTTTTCCCTAACACCATCTGCTGATGGCCAGATAATAAGCCAATTCATGCACAGTGCAACTTTTGGGAGAGTTTTATTAAAATATATTGTCACAGAACTCTCAAAGAGGCCAAAATGTATTGCAAGCATTGAGTTTGGATCATACCATTGGATTTTTTCGTTAAGTCACTAGCTCACTAGGACTTCAATAGACGATAATTCCGTGAAGTTTGATACAAAAGTATGAATGGGCAGAAATGCCTATCAGTAATTTTGGATCTCGAGATATAGCCATTAAAGCGCCCTTTTGCATATGCTCATTGAAGAAATTTTTGTTCATCGTTTTTGTTATTTCTAAATCATTCGAATCCTTATGCACTACCATTGTTTAAAAACATTTAATTTCAGTTCTAATCTAACCCTAGTATTTAGTACTGAAAAATGTCAAGAGATGTCGCGAGCGTTGAATTACAACTCGTTATATTTTCGTTTACGGCAAACCGTATAGGGTCTGAGAATTATTATGCAAATAAATTGCTTTTATTACTGGTGACATCTGGAGTTTAATTTCAACATCCGCAAGTTTAGACATAAGGTGGTGCCGAAACCAGGGAGAAGAAGAGGACATAAGTGTAACAGTGAGTAAAGTGACGCAAAAATTACAAGTGTTAAAGACTTAGAATAATTGTGAGTGAACTGTAAAATTGACAAAGTGTTTAGAACTTAGAATATTTCGTGTGCAGTGAAAAATTGTCAGAGTCCCAAAGACTCAGAAAAATTTAACTCGTGTTGGAACTTAGAAAATTTACTGATTATAGGATTTTCGATCAGTGGAACTTTCTTTAGTATTTTACTTACATAGTCTCTAGAATTTGCAATTTCTTAAAGTGTTTTGGACATAGTCGCTGGAGCGTTTGGTGAACATTAGTAGAACATTTATCAGTGAATTTTATAGTTATTTGGACATTTGTTTTGCGTCAACATGGAGGAGATAAACTCAATGATTCTCAAACAAACTGAGATTAGTCAGCGTATTTCAAAGGCATTTAAGAACTTTAAAAAATCCCCGAAGGATAGAATTACGGTGCCCTACATCCGAATTAGAGAAGAGACCCTAAAGGCAATTTGGGACCTATTCAACACCAACCATTATGAGATTGTTGCTGCCACCTCACCAGACGATCAGAAGCTGTTGGCGTACTTTCTCGAGGATGCGTATGACTGTTGTGAAGATTCATATAGAGCAGGTAGAGAAGCTTGTTCCAAACAGCCCAGCTGCTAAATTAAGCAACTCTGGTAATAATTCGGAGACAAGTTCAGGAAACACTGGAAAGCCGCAACCTGACGTGAAGCTACCAAGAATAGAGTTGCCAAAGTTTACCGGGAACTACGACGAATGGCAGAGTTTCTACGATATGTTCACTTCGATAGTCCACAACAATTGCAGTTTAAAAGATGTTCAAAAGCTCCACTATCTGATAAGTAGCCTGTCTGGAGAATGAACCTGAACTGCTTCTGAGAAACCTAGCAGTGACTGATGCAAATTATCAAGATGCTTGGACAAAACTGACGCAACGGTACACAAACAAGAGATGCAATTGCAACGAGGTAATGAAGCGTCTGTTTTCCCAAAAGGCTATTGCTGCTGAGTCAGCGACCTCTACGAAGCAACTTCTAGATAATACATCTGCGTGTCTCAAGTCACTACAGAATCTTGATATCAACACTGACACTTGGGATCCTATCATGAACTATCTGGTAGTATCTAAGCTTGATACCGAATCACGCAAGCAATGGGAAATGTATGTGAGTTAGAATGTTCAGCCTAACACCTTACCATCTTGGAATCAACTTGCGAGTTTTTTGGAGACTAGATTTCGAACATTAGAGATGCTGGAATGCGAAAAATATACACCAAAGGCTACACAGAACAATACTTCGAAAGAAATAATTAAACACAAGTCATTTCACTCCACCGTTAACAACAACGAGAAGAAAGTGTCAATCAATACTTGCGTGATGTGTTCAGGAGGACACTCACTATACCAATGTAAGCAATATGAGAGGCTGTCCCCAGAGAAGAGGACTGAGTATGTGCAAGCAAACCGCTTGTGCTTCAACTGCTTATCATCGAGTCATTCTGTGAAAGGATGTTACCAGTCTATGAGTTGTCGTCGGTGTGGACAACGTCATCACACTACACTACATTACGAGAGAGATCAACAAGTGGCTGCTGCGTTTCCGATCCTACCGCTAGCTACTTTGCTTACGGTTCTGTCAGAGAATCTGCAACCGTCTGAGAAGAAGAATCCATAAACTTTGAGTCAACAACATAATAATCATACCGAGTCGAGAGTAGTAGCTCATTTTGCTAAAGAAAGTTATCAGGGCAATCAGAGTAAATTGTTAGCAATCGCCCTGGTAAAAATTGTTTCAACAAATGGCTACTCCCAACTTAAAAAAAAATAAAAATCATTTATTCCTAGAAATAGAGCTACAGACCTGAACAGTGGGAAAAAAAGTGACTTATATTAAATTAATTTTAACTTATATTATATTAAATTAAATACTAATTACATATAAATTCTTATTACATATAAAAAAGGTACTGGTGGGCCCCAAACTAGGCATAGCCTGTATCTTGGGGACCAGGAGTACGGTTATCAGTTTTACTTACGTAATTAAAAGTACCCAAAATTATACAGAACAACAAATTATTTCTTAATTTAGGAAGATAGTTTTTAAGTATTTGTCGCTTATATTAATATTTATTTTTTATTCCTAGGAAAAATATGAATACAATATTTTAGTGTGAAACGTAGATATAATTTGGTATTATTTTTTCTTTAATATTAAGTTTTCGGTATCATTATAATTTAGTATATGTTTAGCTTTCAAAGTGGTGCAATTTTTGATGTCACAGACTTTAAGTATTTTGTTATAAATATGAGGATGTGAGAACTGTGGAAGACGGTGCGCGAAAACAGACCTGGCAGCCGGAATTGGCATTTTAAATATTCGTTTAGTGATTAGGTTGTCGTAAATAGGCGACTGAATTACTTGCCCATGGGTTTTTAAAACTGCGGATAGAATATACAACTGGCGTACACTCAAAACCTCGCTATCCCAATAAAGATCGGCCGTAGGGTACCGGTAGGGCTTTTTATACATGACCTTGAGACCTGCTCTCTGTGCCCTCTCCAACTGCAACATCGTGGTTTTGGAGGCACCACCCCAAGCTGATATACAATATTGTATTAAGGATTGGCAGAGGGCAAAATAAACCATACGAAGTGTCTTTTTATGAGCACAGTTCCTGAGCAACTTCACTATGTAAATAACCCTCTTGACTCGATTTGAGAGGTATGAGATATGCTGTTTGAAGGAAAGATTGTGGTCAACAATTACACCCAAGTACCTGATCGTCTCCACTCTCGCAATACCCTCACAGTCACAATGTTGCAGAATGTCACAAGTATGGACTGGAATGTCGTTCTGGATCAACGGATTCGATGCACAAGTTTTGTGGAAACACATGTATTTGGATTTTTTCGCATTAAGTGTCAACAAATTACGATTCAGCCACCCAGCCACTTGACCCATACCGTTCTCGGCCAGCTTTCTTACTTCTTTCCAGGATCGACCATGAAATAAGACAACGGTGTCATCTGCGTAACAAATTGTTTCACACTGAGGTATTTTGAGTTCTAGAAGGTCATTCATATATAGAACAAAGAGGGTCGGCCCGATAATACTGCCCTGGGGCACGCCGAAGGATCACCTGAAGCTGGGAACTAACGTGATCAGGCCCTATTTGCACGCTTTGGTATCGATTAGTGAGATAGCTTTGAAACCAATTCCTAGCAGTACCGCGGATTCCAAAACCTTCGAGTTTCTTCAACTATATTTGTCTAGACACGGTGTCAAAGGCCTTAGAAAGGTCCAGAAAAATACCAAGACTGCATTTACCATTATCCACCTTCGATGAAATTTGATTTATCAGCAGACTAATAGCATCCTCAGTGGACTTCAGCAGACGGATATTAACTATCTTCTCAAGAAGCTTTGAGAAGATTGTTAGGAGCGATATAGGCCTGTAATTATCCGGATTATTCTTTGGTCCAGCTTTGTTAATCGGACTTACTACCGCACACTTCTATTTGTCAGGAAATACGCCCTTACTAAGACTAAGGTTGAAAATATGAGTAAGAGGAATCAAAATTGACTCTTTAATAGATTTAATAAGAAGAGGGGTACATCCGTCAACCCCCGGCGCACTATCACTACGTAAACCCTCAATCAGCCTCTTGATTTCCAATGAATCAGTTGGTTTAAAGAAGAAAGAGTTAAGCGGAGGATTGGGAGTCCCAACGGAAGCACTCAATTTGACCTCTGAGGTTGAGGAGACAAAATGACTATTACAGAAATTTAATGAAGACTTGATGTCAAAATCACTTTTCAAAAGTTCCTCAGAATCTTTACTCCTTTGGGGGACCTCGCAAACGTTTCTTATTGCCTGCCAAAGCTTTTTAGGATTCCGCTTATGGTTTTTTAGCTCTCCATTCTCGTGCTCAGCCTTGAGTCGGTGCAGCAGGTCATTACAATAGTTGCGATATCGTTTGTAGGTCAGATTAAGCACGACGTCATTAGGGTTCGCACGGACCTGACTATGCAAATGGTCTCTGTGTCGCATACATTTTATTAGCCCGGGAGTAATCCAGGGTTTGATGTTGTATTTAGTGCGACTCAATTTTACTTTAGTAGTATGTTTGCCTATAGCTGATTGTATAATCTTGTCAAAATTAAAAGTGGCCTCGTTGACGTCTTCACAGCCAGTTATTGTCGACCAGTTCATACCGCAAAGGTCCAAATTAATTGCGCCGATATCAACAATATTTCTGTACCTGTTTTTCGATTTAGGTTTATTTTCAGCAAAGCTCACACCTACCATAGGCATATAGTGATCAGTCAAGGAGCATTTGCATACAGCTGCTGAGATAACTTGTTTGCATTTAATGAAAATGTGGTCCAAGCATGTATCTCCCCTAGTAGGCTCTGAAATGGCTGAC